GGAGGGAGGTAGGCGTAGATAGGGGAATAAAGGTACCTACGCATTGCTTTTTTGCTTTGGGCCATCTATGCAGACCAGGCACAACATTCAAATAACATCTAAATATACTGATTATCATATTATTAAGGGCGTAGACGATTTTCTTACAAGTTTCTGATGGCAATTTCTGTAGTTCGGAATATGCAAATTGTTATTAGATGGAATACAGGGGCTGATATTTAGTGGATCATGGAATACAGGGTAAGATAAAAAAAATGAAACATCTTCAGACTGCTGTCATTTCTAAGCCACTCGTCCGACAGCTTTTAAAATTATTCCAGTGACAGCTCAATATATTGTTTACAAGCGTATTGTTTTGGTGAGAATTTTCCAGAAAAAAGTTATTCGTAATAGAATTCAAGTAGGATAGTGTGATTTCTTTATATTTGACTGAAAACCCAAAAGTGGCTATCGTTAGAGCACTCCAGCATTTAAATGTGAATAAATATTTTGTGTCTCGTGCCATCGCTCGTTACCGTGGTACTGGTAGCGTAGCCCGACGTCAAGTAAGTGGACCGAAGAAAACAGCAACATCAGCAGAAATGGTTCGAAAAATAAAGAAGCGACTTGATCGAAACCCGAGTCGCAGTGGCCGAAAAATGGCTCGTGAGCTGAACATATCGCAATATTTTTAATTCGGCAAATATTGAAAAATGAGCTCGGGGTAAAGCCACTGAAAATTCAAAAAAGTGCAAGAACTTACACCGCAACAGAAATAAAATAGACGCAAAAGAGAGCTCCGCTTGGCCGAACGTTTTTGGTTTGGTTTTCTCCGTCTCCGATGAGAAAACATTCGTTGTCCAGCAGTTTGTAAACAAACAAAATGATCGTGTTTACTTGCCAAAAAGAGGTCAGCTGAAAATGTGCACCTTAGGTTGGCCACCAGAACTCAAGCGCCGATGGTCGCTCTCCGCTCCTATTAATGGACCGTGGCATCAGAATAAATGCCGAATATTATCGTGAAAATATTCTGGAGGTTGTATCAAAGCCTTTGGCACGCAAACATTTTGGCTGCAGACCTTTGACATTCCAACAGGACTCAGCACCATCGCACTCAGCACTTCATTCGTGCGCACAATGGCCACCAAAATCTCCGGATACCAACACGTTGGACTATTGTGTCTGGAGTATTTTGGAAAGCAAGGTTGGCACTAAAAAATACCAAAGTGTCGATCACATCAAGCAAGCGCCTCGCCGGGAATGGGCGAAAATACAGCAGAGCAACATTCGGGCCGTTTGAAGGCTATAATTGGTGCCAAAGGTTACCAATTAGAACAAATCTAAACTTATTCTAAAATTTGGTGCTGTTACCATTTGATGTAGCTAAGGTAAGTTAAAACCTCAAAATGTTTTATGATATTTCAAAGTAATCAGACAGACAGACCTTGTTTTCGACTGCAACCAATTTGGGATTCTAATCCGAAAATGAGCGTATCATAAAACCATATGCAATTAATAGAACCCAATAAAAAGGGTTATTATTATGAGATATCATAATTAGGCGGTAATGGTAATAAAGTTTCGATTTGCCCATATAACCCTATTGTGTTGCGGGGTTTTATGGCAGGAAATTAGTATAAAAATCGTTCTACATTTTTGAATTCCTCGACAATTGGAAGTCAGTGCCCCAGGGGCATTGCGCTTTTGTGGTAGGTATCATAAATTTTGTTTCAAGTCTTTTGTCTTTCCATTAGCATTTATTTATGAGCAACTACCCATTCATGCAATGGCCGTATAAACCAAACCAGAAAAAACACAAATAGATACATTAGGTGTGCATATATGCAAAGGAAACCCAATTCTAGGTAATTTCCTCTAACCTGATTTCCAATTTGTGATAATAAATTAATTTCCGATCAATTGCTGGAAACCCCCTAACATATTTCGCTATTGGATCAACATTACAAATTCTTATATGCGGAATTGAGGCCCATACAATTCCTTCCCCCTACCCTATTGTTGTTACATTCCATCATATCATATGAAACAGCAAAAACAACAACACCAGATACCCTTTCATCAATTATTTAATAGTAATTGCAACAGAAAAAGAACGAAAACAAAGACCCACAATAAAAACGAAACTTACAATCCAGTTGGAGAACAAAACAAAAAAGAACGAATTAATGATTAAACAAATTACTATAGACCACAAAACTGAAATCGAATAAAATAAAATAAAATACAATGCGATATAAAAAACAACAATGAAAATGAAGAACGAACATAAAGTGGTGGCTAGAACAAAACAACAAAAACGCGAGACCAATGAATAAAACAACAAAGTGCGCATCAACCTTTAGCACGGCATTCATACATCCAACCATCTCCTGTTGAGCGAACAATGTATCTATGTATCTGGAAATGTGGATGACGAATGCCCAGACGTGTGAGTAAGGGGGGCTGGCGGGGATGGCTGACTGGCTGACTGGCTGGCTAAATAGACCGGCTGATGATCTGTCGCATAGCCATCGTCACATTACGCCAATAAAAACAACAACTAGCTACGCAATTTATTGTCAAAGCACAGCAGCAGCACGAGATCCATGTGAATGGAAGTGCATTACAGACTACAGGGAGTTTATACACAGCGGAAAATGAATCCTGAAATACATACTCTTTGATAATGCAGGAGGAAATTTGTTTAATATAAGTGGGTATCCTAAATAAAGAGGGTTTTCTACAGAATTTCATCAACTATCCCCAATTAAGTGTATGACCACGAAATTAGCACATATTAAAATAGGATTTTTGTAGAAAATTACTGGTGCCAAAACTTGATGAACCCATCATTTGTTAATGAGTGTTCGACTTAGCAATTACCAGATTATATCACCAATGCATGTAGGCCTGGGGAAATAGGAACCACAATTGTAAATTTTTAATTTTAAATAAATGATTACCCCTTTTAAGATAAACAAGTAAAAAAATCAGCTAAGATACGCCGGGCCGAATTTTTAATAGGAATTTGAAAAATTTAAATTTAATTAAAGACGTGGATCTGCATTCGAATATGTTTGTCATAGGCTGAAGTATCTATTACGAACTTCAAATACGAAATTTTAAGGGATTCAGGTTTATGTATGCTTCTAAAATCATCAGTATACAGAACATTGGGAGGTATGGTTATATGGGGGATATACGAAAATGTGGACCAATATGGCCCATTTACAAACATAAACTGCCTGCTAGCAAAATACACATTGGCATTTTAGCCTTCTATCTCAATTCTTTGGAAAAATAGCGTATTTACAACAGAAAGACGGACGGATATCACAGACTCGAATTAGAATTTTACGCTGATCCATGATATACATACTTTGAGGGTTTAAAATTAGTATATCGTAGTATATCGTCCATGGAATGTTGGAAGGTATAAAAGTATATGTTAGATATACGAGGAAGGTACCAAAGCATGGAGACCAAAATAGAACTTAAAGTTGAGAACCCAATTAATCAAAAAAATTAGTTTGCTCCGCAAACGTTTCTATAGGCTCTTCGATACCCGAGGAGCTTTGGAGGCTTATAAAATTTGTTGAGGTGATTGGTAACCTTTGTCACGAATTATGGCCTTCAAACGGCCAATGAAACCGTCACACGTTGCCCGAATGTTGCTCTGCGGTATTTTGGCCCATTCCCGGCGAAACGCTTGCTTGAGGTGATCGACACTTTGGTATTTTTTAGTGCCAACCTTGCTTTCCAAAATACTCCACACTACTTGGTGGCTATTGTGCGCTGGAAATGAAGCGAGGAACCTCATTTTGTAACCATTCTTGGGTGGCGCGTGCTGAGTGCGATAGTGCTGACTCCTGTTGGAATGTCCAAGGTCTGCGGTCAAAATGTTTGAGTGCCCAAGCATTTAATACACCCTCCAGAATATTTTCGCTATAATATTCGGCATTTATTCTGATGTCACGGTAGATTAATACGAGCGGAGAGCGTATATCGGCTGTTATGGCGGCCCACACCATCACCATGGCCGGCGCTTGAGATCTGGTGGCCAACCGAAGGTGCACCTTTTCGACTGACCTCTTTGGCAAGTAAACACGATCATTTTATTTGTTTACAAACTGCTGGACAACGAATGTTTTCTCATCGGAGAAAACCAAATTCGGCAGTTCACTACTTTCGGCCAAGCGAAGCAATTCTTTGGCTCTCTTGAGTCTATTTTCTTTCTGTTGCGGTGTAAGTTCTTGCACTTTTTGGAATTTCAATTGCTTTGCCCAGAGCTCATTTTTTAATATTTGCCGAATTGAATATTGCGATATGTTCAGCTCACGAGTCATTTTTCGACCATTGCGACGCGGGTTTCGATCAAGTCGCTTCTTTACTTTTCGAACTATCTCTGCTGATGTTACCGTTTTCCTCCGTCCACTTCCTTGACGTCGGGCTACACTACCAGTATCGCGGTAACGAGCGATGGTGGATGGATTATTTGCATAATTCATGGATATTTATAAAAATAGAGACAGAGATTAAAATAGAATGTAACTGAAACATCACTTTCTCTATTTGTATATATTTATTTATTATGTATATATATTTATATTTCCCCAAAAACAATGATCACTATATCATGAACCCGTTTAACCTCCATTAAAATATACACTTTTTCCAAGTGTATTGCGGCGGGGTTAATGCTATGGAAACTACAAAACGGTTCCTCTACCTTTGTTGTCGTTGTTATAGTTATTGTTGAAGGAATTACAAAGCTATTGGCTGTTCCGCCACCACTGTCATTGCACGCCGCTTAAACGTTAAACAAACACAAGTGCTTTGGTTTTTTGTTTTTGTAAGTAGTTTTTTGTTGTCTGCTGTTTACGAAATTAACAAAAAAGGGGGAGGGGGGAGGTGCAAAGAGAGCAGCAAATGACACTTTTTGTGAACTGGAACTGATAAGGTCTTCAGATCACCAGGCAAGAGGTGTGGGGTTGGCTTGGGAGATAAAATACGACACTTACCTCATTTACAACTGGACGCTTTGCTGATGCTGTTGATTTCGAAAGTACCACCGGTGATGATGATGAAGAAGCAGAGGAAGAGTATTTATTGTTCTTGACGCTGTTGGGAGAATTATCCAGAGTTGCGGGTCCTGTGGATGGTCGCCGCGAACGCAAGGCCTGCATGGCTCTTTGATGTTGTTGCTGTTTGCGATAGTGTTCGTGTTCAATTTTATTCCATTTCTCATCGGAAAAAGTGTCATCATCATTCTCGTTGTTGTTGTTATCATTGGAAGCTGGGCTGTCATAGTCTTCATCAAAGGCATTTCGTGCGGGTGGCTGTGGACGTTTCCGGGAGCCATAGGAGGAGACGGAGGGCTTATAGGGATTTCTGTTTGGGGCCGTGTAACGTTTAACATTGACTTTTGCAGCATTGGGCCCACCGACAGGAGGACTCTTATTTTTGGTGTTCACATCTTCAAGGTCATCTTCGTAGGAATAGTCGTCGTCATCGTCGTCCAACTCATCATCGGCGCTATCAAGTTTTAAGATATTATCGCCATTATCCCCGGCTAAGCTATCTTTTTGGGCATCCAACGACAGCGAGATGCGTTTGAATTCCTGTTCCTTGTCCTCCTGCTGTTTTTGGTGGTCGTCTTCGCCATCGTTGAACAGACGATTGTGTGGATTATAAAAATGTTTGTTTTGTTTTCCGCCTTCGCCCTCCATTTCCCCATCCTCTTCGTGCAGGGGCCCTTGAGTGGCTGGCGGCAACCAGGCCATGGAATTGCTGTACAAACCGTCGCGATCAAAATAACGGGGTCTCATAGTTGTGGTTGTCGTTGTGGAGCTGGTTGTCGTTGCGGTCCCAGTGAAATTGTGCCGTCTGTGGTGATGCAAATGTTGTCGTTGATGATGGCGCAAATGTTGTTGCCTCTGATGATGCTCGTAGTGTTGCCTGGAACGAGGTGGTGGCAAGGGCCATTTAAATTCATCCTCCGGCTCCTCCTTCTTGTCCTCGGCCATGTGCTTGCCATGATGACGATAATGTTGTTGCTGCTGCTGCTGATGGTGGTTGTTGTTGTGATGCTGCTGCTGATGATGATGACGATGGTGATGCCCCTGATGATAGTGTTTGGGAGGCAAAGGTGTTATGGGTTCTCGCAGAGCTTGCTGTATTTGCTGATATCTAAGATGACGATTATTTTCAGATTGTGGCTTGTTGAGATCTGCGGGCACTGGCATGTTAGAAGATTGTGGTGAGCGTTGCATCATTTCTATGTCTTCGTCGTTCGATGCTTGTTCTTTTCTGGCATTTGACATTAGTGGCATTTTTGCAGCATTAGTTGCATCACCTTGATTGTTGTCATCGCCATCGCCATAGTCATCATCGTCGTCTCCGTCATCGTCGAATGCATGGCCTTTGCCTTGTATGGAGCCGGGAAAGGCATTGCCAAGATCATCACCATTGTTGTTGCTGCTGCTGCTGGCAAGCATAAAGATGTTCTCACCTTTCGCAGTAACGGATCCAAAGTCTTGCAGTGAGGAATCCGATGCTGCGGCAGCAACACTAAACTGGGGCCATAAAATCGCACCGATACAGCAGCCCAGAAACATCAATAACATTAAATTCATCTGGCCCATGAATCTTCTGCGCCTGCGTGGCATATGATCCCAAGATTTCGATGAGAGAGTTAAGGCGGCAGATGATGCCGCAGATGGTTGTGGGTAAAAGTCCATTTTTAATGCTTTCATCCTGTCAAGGAGAATGTTGTTGTTATATTCGTTTGTGGTCGTAAAGTTTGTTTTGGGACCAACGATTTTTTAACTGAAATTTATGATCTTTTTTAGCAAAAAGCACTTAAGAACACCTCTTTTAATTTTATATTTTTTTTCTTGATAACTCTTTTTTTTTCTGGTTTCAAATTCAAATCACTTTAAATTCATTAATTTTTTTATTTATTTATTACTCTTTTGTTGTCACAATTTTCAAAAGAAAATTAAACACAATTTTTCCTCTGACATGACAGTCAGTTAGACAGACAACCACTTGAATGTAATTGCCAAATGGCTTCAAGAAACGCACCTTTATTTTTGCGGGTAAATAAACTTGCGGCTTCTAACCCGACGTCCGACCGACCGATAGACCGACAACGTTTCTGAAGTTTCCACACAGCAGCCAACACAAAAATGTGGTATTAGCGATTGAATTGTTGCTGCTACTTTGCTGCGGTTGCGAAAGATTTCCTCCTTCGCTTTACAAGAACTTGAATTGTAATTTATGCAAATTTGAAGCTTTGATTACTCTAAGCGCACACATTTAGATTTTTTGTTTACGTTTTCCGTTGTCGTGGTTGTCAAACAATTTTCAAGTTCATTCACACGCACACAGACCCACTTAGACTGGCGAACACTTTACAAGAGATTGGTTTTTCTCTCACACACAATTTTTTTGAAAGGCCATTCAATAAATCAATCAAAGATTTTTTTTCACATAAATTCTAATTAAGCCGAAATATTATTCGCCACTGGAATTTGTTAATCTTTCACTTCTGGTCTGGGTCAAAATACCGTCACACATTCATTCGCACGTTCGCACGCACTCACACTTGCTGCTTAGAAGCAGGGAAAAATTCTAAAACAAAAACACCGTTTGTTGCCATTTAGCAGCGGCAGCATAAAAATGACAATATCTTCTTTTATTTTTTGTTTTGTTGTTGTAAATAATTTTATTTGTAATGTGCCTCTGGTAAGTGACTCTCAGAGAATATGATTATTTTTTTTTTTATTATTGTTGCCGTTTGGTTTTGAAAATTCCACCGTCAATACGAACAGTTAAACACGAAGTCAAGCAAAAAACTGAAATTGAAAATCATCCAGCCATCGCAGACAACGTCCATGCGTTCAAAACATGTAAACAAAAACAAAGAGTCTGAAACATAGAGCAAAGCAAGCAAGTAAAGCACTGCTGCTGCTGTCGTTGTCGTTGTCATTGTTGTTGTTTGTGTTCTGGCTTAGTTACATTCGGGCCAGCACTTCGTCGTACAAAGCAACGAACGAATGCAGTTACATGCGCAACATAAAATGTAGCAACATGTTGTTACGCAGCCACCACCATCACCATCGTGCATTGATGCGATACAATCCACATTGGGTAGTACACAACTCATACACACACACACATAGCTGTGAATGTTATGCTGCTACCCTATGCGAATCAAAACAAAAATCAGCTGTTCCAGCTGCATAACGGATTCCATTACATCAACCACGCGCAACATAACATCCACAATGTTGTTTGTTTACGCTTCGAGGAATGTTGCTGGCGCATCCGCTCTCAACATGTCGCCAGTGAGAGAGTGCATGCCAATGAAGTGAGATGAATTAACCTTCTCATTAAAATGTAAACAAATCATTGTTTCGTGTCTCAACAAAGCAAAGCAGTTGTTGTTCTTGTAGCACCAACACCCTTTGCATTTGTGAGGCTCAGGGGGAATATTTTCGATTTGATAATGCTTTTGTAACGAGACTTATTTCGAGGTCAAAGTTTTAGATGCTGAAGGCATTTTTACACATTTTTTATATAGAATCACTTTTTAGTCGATTTATTTTTCGTGAAATTTTACATATAGCCCCAGCAAAAACCCTGCTGAAATTGCATCAGATTTGGATATAACTCCCACATATATTTCATCCGATTAGACATTTAATTCCCCAAAGCGATATGTACTGATATAATTACATCCTAGAAATACCTTTGGCTAAATTTTGTGGCAATAGGTTCTGAATTAGATTAGCTTCCATTGGCGATGTATATTTAATATATACAGGGTGAGATGAAAAAACTGCAACCATCTTCCGACTCTCATTTCTAAGCCACTCGCCCGACAGCTGTTAAAATTATTAAAGTGAGAGCTCATTATATTGTTTACAAGCGTACAAAAGCATTTTGGTGAGAATTTTCCACAAAAAAAGGTATTCGTGAGGAAATTAAAGCGTGATAGTGTGATTTCTTTATATTTGGCTGGAAAAACACAAGTAGCTATCGTTAGAGCACTCCAGCATTTAAATGTGAATAAATCTTTTGTGTCTCGTACCATCGCTCGTTATCGTGATACAGGTACCGTAGCCAGACGTCAAGGAAGTGGACAGAAGAAAACAGCAACATCAGCAGAAATGGTTCGCAGTGGCCGAAAGATGGCTCGTGAGCTGAACATATCGCAATATTCCGTTCGGCAAATATTGAAAAATGAGCTCGTGGTAAAGCCATTGAAATTCCAAAAAGTGCAAGAACTTACACAGCAACAGAAAGAAAGTAGACTTAAAAGAGCTAAAGAGTTGCTTCGCTTGGCCGAAAGTGGTGAACTGCCAAATTTGGTTTTCTCCGATGAGAAAACATTCGTTGTCCAGCAGTTTCTAAACAAACTAAATGATCGTCAGCTGTATGTGGTATAAAAAATAGACATGAGAACTCAAAAACCATTCAGAATTTTGGCAATAGGCAAGCCTCACATTGCAAGGTAATGACAACCCATCGTCTACATTACCAGTAAGTCAAGAAAAAATTGGTTATTAATTAAAGGTTTTTGAGAAAATAAATATTTTTAACCTTACAAAATAATGAGTAACGAAGCACAGGGTCTAAATTTTCGGCGGAGGATTATTTGTATGTAGTTACTAATAAAACTGAAAACCTTTAATTAACCTATATAAACTCATTTGAATAGAGCCTCAAACTGTCCACATAACCTCACAACAAAAAAGTTAAAGACATACATATATTTGCTTTTTTACTCTTCTACTCAACTGGCATCGTGGTGCAGAGCACATTCACCGCCAAGCAAATCCATTCAAATAAGCAAAGCGGCATTTCGAACAAAACGAAAATGCTGAAAACAAAAATCTTAACAACGGAATGTGAAATGAAGATTTAGACATTGATAAGATAACTCGGTAAATTGAAATCTTTAAATGTCTTTGAAGTTGCTCTGGGGTCGGTTGCTCTGGCAGCAGAATAAACATTTATTGCAGAAAATAAGAAAATAATTATCTCTCTCCCTCGCACAACTCCGTCTGTCGTCAGCAGCATCACTTCATATCTTGCTTTTGTTGTTGTAGTTGATTTTAGAGTAAATTTCATTTTTTAATGAAACCAGTCAGTCGACTGATTTGGGGCTAACTAATTACACATGTCTTTGGGAATGTTTGCGAGATAACCACCAAGCGCCAAGCTCGGAACAATTCTTTGACATGCATTACATCACTGCTCATCATCTTTAATGTATTCATAATTTTGTTGTTGTTGTGGCTGTGGTTCTCCCCTTTAGCTTCTGAATGATTTAACTCTGGCCGATCTGTTGAAATGGAAATCTTTCATGTTTGTGCTTTTTGAACTCCCTCTCCCTGCGAAAGTGAATGTGTGAGTCAGTGTTGGCTCCGACAGTAGCGATAACGAAGCGATGCCGTGTAAAACGCATTGTTGTCCCCACTATTGTCTTGAGGTGACATTGAATTCATCGTAAAATATTTATTACAAATGAAAATAAATAAAAAAACAATTAAACTTGAAGGAATTAGAACTGATAAAGGTATTCGCCATGAGCGGCAAAGATTCTGTTTTCACTTGTGACATAAAGAGCAATATGCGTTGGAAAATGCAAATAGAAATGCTATTATTATAAATGACGGAATTTGATTTCAGAAAAAGAGCAGTAGTTACTTTAATCACAATCTGTGAGACAACAACAATTTACGAAATCGGTTAGTAATATGGAAGGATTATAGAAGAAATTAAATCGTAAAATGATGGTCTGTTAAAATTAATTTAAAATTTGTCCAGTAAAGACACAAACTATTCCAATGGGGAGAGAGTGATTGGGAAGGAAATTTAAGGCAGTTTGGAGCAAATTTAAAGAAAAAAATGACAAATATTATAAATTAATAAAAAATTTGATTAAAAATAATAAATATTGAAATAAGTAAAAACATCCAGAAAAAATTAAACCATTAAACTTCTCATTTAAAGCCCAAAGTAAAAGAATTAAAATTGCTGCATTGTTGGGACAAAGCTCAAATAAAAAGTCCCACTTTCCGAATTTATATTATAGACAAAAAATCGGATTTAGAATTGTAGACAAAAAATCGGAATTAGGGTCCGTTTTAAGGGTACCCTTTTAAATTTGGAAAAAAAAAATCCCGGAATTATTTATGCCTATAACTTACAATAATCGATTAATCTGATTCACACATACACTTTCGATTTAGCCTTTTGTTTGTTAACCCTTTCTGAACATGAATAGAATTCTGGTGATTTGTGACTTCGCTAGACAAATTTTGAATTTATCATCACGTACAGCTATATTATAACCATAATTGTAAGTTTATGAGGTAAGAGGAGTTTCTATTTTAACGCCTTAGTAATATTTGCATAAACTATCAAATGTATGTAATGGCATTAGCCCTTTCAATGGGACCATATTTTTTCAACATACCGATCTAGATTTGGACAATTATGTCACTGTTGCCCGGAGCTGCTACCCCTCTGATATAACCAACAGCATATCATCTCCTCATTATACGCTCAGCCATATGAAAAGAAGGATGTATATCATTTGATACGGTCAAAACGTGTCCAGTCGGAATAACGGTTTTAGACCCTAGGTCTATTTGGACCAAATCCGTTTTAGGACATTTGGAGTTGATCTAGCGATGTCTGCCCATAAGTCTGTCTGTCTGGCTGGTGTACACCATAACTTTCGAAGGGAGTCTCCGATTTGGTCCAAACTTGGTATATCGTAATATTTTTGTCAAACTTAGATCTAGTTCGGAGATGGGCTATATCGGTCCACTCCTTCTGGTACCTCCCCCCACAAAAGTCGAAATTTTCAAAAAATATGTTTTTTGCCCAAGATGCAATAATCCAATTTGCGATAATCCGATCTTGCTCCAACTTTGCAAATACTAATATTTGCTAGATCTGGTGCGAAAATGGATCAGTCCACTCCATCAAGTGTATCCCCACAAAGGTTAAAAATTTTGAATAATTATAAGTCTTATAAAACGTGATGTAAGAATCCGACTAACCTTAAATCTCTCACATCCCAATATTTTTATAAACTCAAGGTCTGGTGTTAAGATGGGATATATCGGCCCTCTCCTTCTAATACCTCCCCCACAAAGGGTCAAAATTTTGAATTTCCATGGAGCTCATAAAACGCGAAATTAACATCCGATTCTATTTAGACTTTGAACACCCGAATAGTTCCATCAACACAGGATCTGTTATAAAAATGGTAGAGATCGGACCATTTCTTCTGGCACCTCCCCCACAAAGGGTCCAAGTTTTGAATAACCAAAACGTTTATAAAATCCGAAATATGCATCAGGTTCTCTTATATTTCTCTTATATTTTACACATTGCATTATTTCTACTAACACAAGATCTGTTGTGAAGATGGAGTATATCGGTCCACTGTTTCTGATACAACCCCCCACAAAGGTCGAAATTTTGAATATCCATAGAGCTCATAAAACGCGAAATTCACAACCCTTTTAATTCAGACTTGATATTTCCATCAACAGAAAACATGTTATAAAGATGGTAGAGATCGGACCATTTCTTCTGGTACCTCCCCCTATGGGGTTCAAGATTTTGAGAAACCAAACGCTCAAATTAAGACAAATAAGCATTAACTCTCTTCAGATTTCACACACACAAGTATTTTTGCTAACACAAGATCTGTTGTGAAGATGATATATATCTGCGAAACCCTTCTGGTACCTCATTCAAAACGGGTCACAATTTTTAATACTTTCATCTGTCATATTTTGTGAAATAAGTCAGAGATT